CCTTCCAGCCCAAATGTCTATGAAATCTATGAAAAGTGAACAACACAAGTGGCCACGATAGCCACTCTCATAGGATGGGAACCATGGAGTGTAACTGTGACATATGGACAGATATATAGTGCAGCTGAGTCACAAGCCTGGTAAAAATGTGCATTCCAGATCAGATGAAATAGTCTGCACTTCACTTAACAACAATCTGCGCAGCAGCGTAACAAACTACTGTGTGAGCACCCCACTGGCATTCATAGGACACCATCATACTTGCATACAAACTGGAGAAATATCTACAACCTCACTTTTATAACAAGTAGTTACCATCTACCTGATGCATTACTGCACAGCCACCACAAGCTCCACATCCCCTCTGGGATTGGTAGCACTGTATAACATTACTTCTGAAAAGTAAAAGTGCATTTTAAATCATCAGTATGGTTAAAATGAGTAATATAAAATAAGTGTGTTGTAAGAATGGAATATGTTAAGGATTATGGAGCGTGACATTCCTCCAATTTGGATGAAATTGGCCTCTCTTATGAGCAGTAAGCCATATGAGCATTTCACCCATCATTTTTGACACAGAAATACAAATTCTCCTTTTGCTTAGACCTATGTACATCACTAATAGCTCCACTGAAATCAGTGAGTTATACCACCGTAATCAGAGGAGAACTGAAGCCATAAAGAGTATTGTTTATCAATTTGAAAACCCCAAGAAATTCCCCAAGGAGCTGCAAGTAACTTCAGATAGTGGTGACTGGGGAATAAATAGGACCATTTATATGACAAAATGTAATGTAAACGGAAAGGAACAGCATTTTCTTCCAGGTGGTTCATGCTAACCAAGCATTTATGAGAAAGAAAAGTTTATTTTCTCTCTCACTCTTTATTTTATTATTGTTAAAGTGAGTTTAGTGCCAGTTTGACAGCCTTGAAGATGGATGTCCTCTGCATACAGAACTGCTGCAGGATAGGAAACAATGCATCCAAATGTACTCATAAGGCTCCCTCCTCTAGCAGGGAAGGGAGATCATTTTTTCTGACTATTCATTCCTTAGTCTCTCTGGTGAGGATGGTAACATGGGTGACAAGTGATATTCCTGGTTGTGGGGAGATTGAAGGGAAAGTCCCTCCTGAAAGTCTTCTTGTCAAGTAGCAAGTGGTAGCACCACTTGCAGTGGTTAGGCAAGTGATGTGACTTACTTTCTGCTAAGCTGCTTTATTTTACTGAGCATCAGTCTCCCAGCTCCCCCACACCATGTTTATCTGTCTTGTCCAACATCTAGATTGTAACTGTTCGAAAGCAGGGGTGTTGTTGGTTGCTTGTCTGCACAATTTCTAGGGGTTCCTAGAAATTGCTGTGATGCCACCAATAATCCAGATACCCATCTACTAGGTAGCTGGAGCGATATCAGTACGACCAGCTCCAAAGTCCATGAGATTCCAATGACTTTCAGTTATTATTAGCCAAAGCTGGATTTTAACCACAAACCCAGGAGTAAAAGACTCTATAACTTTAGCTGTCTCAGGGAGTAATGCAGTCCCCCATTCCCCTCGCCAGTTCTTCAACTTCCCTTAAAGACCATTTTCAAAGACAACCAAAAAATAAGTCTTGCCTGTAGATAGTTGAGGTGTTTCTCATATCAAATCCTGATGAGTTTATTCTTTCTAGAAAAGCCTGCGCAAGTTCTGGTGTGATATCATATACTGTATCCAGCTGTTTTGTTGCATTGTCATAGCTAATGAATTGTTTCATCTAATTTGTTCAAACAAAAACATGCATCAGTAATGCAAAGGAATCAAGTGCATTAACATACAAGTTTAATATTATAAATGACCTGCCTCCATTCACATTATGAAGTTAGGGCAAAGAACAATCCAGATAATAAACAGTTTGGGAAGACAAAGATGAGCAGTTCTCGCTTGCTCATACATATTTTAATTTAGTGTCCCTCACTCCTAAATAATTTAGTGTCTGCTTAATGTGGGGCCTCATCCTGTAATACTTAATATATGGAACTCCTGGTATAGTACATTGACATTTGAAAACAGAAAGATCACAAGAAAAAGGCAATGGCAGAGGTACACAAAGAAGTAAGAACCTATGGTGGTATATATTTCTGAATTCTAGGAGAAGGAAGGGGTTGTTTGGTTGACAGCTGATCTGGAATGGCTTTGAATTTACCCAATTTAAATTATATACACTCATCTTCATTTTTTTGGCTTGCACTGTAATCATTCTGGCTGCAAATTGCATCATTGGAAAACTGATACATTCAAAACTCATTCTGCTACTTACTTCAGTAAGACTAATTTTCATAATTTCTTCTAATGGGAGATGTACCATATATCTTCCCAAAATCCACAGGTTTTCTGCACTGACCCAAGAGGCTGACTCATTTAATTCTGTTTTGTACAAATAAATGCTCATTAAAATATAAACAACACATTTTTAATTTTTGTTATTCATTATATTCAGTTCTTTCTGTTATGTAGTCAAAGGAACTCTAAGGTCAGAAAACACTACTATAGTTTCCTCTCTAAGAGTAGATACTGTCCACCCGTAATTTAGTTTTATAAAAACAATTTTATAAGCCCTAGTAGAAAAGCACTTGTAAATGTTTTAATTTTCAATATATTATTTTTGTGTGCACCTAGCCATGCTAGTACCTGAAAACCTAAAGAGTGAAATTTACTATTTTTATCTTCTAAACCAAACAAAATGCCAACATAAATGAAGAGTGTATTACAATATTTATGACATTCAGTTTTCATAAGCCAGTGTGTTATTTGGTAACAGATGTAAAGCAAGAAATATTATACTACATATTTCTCTCTCATTTTATATATATATATATACACACACACACACACACACACA